GAACAATGTACAGGACAGTTACCGATAAAGTAAACAGCAGTTCTCACAACTATAACACCTTTTCTTTTGTTGCTATTTCTCTGTAACTTTTTAGTCCACTTTTAAGTATCTGCTGGGGTTTGGTTCCAGGATTCTTCATGGATACCATAATGTGGGAATACTCAAGTCCCATTATATCAATGAAGTAAATTGTGTGTACATTATATAAAATGGTGAATCACTCAAAAGAGAAGATTTTTTCAGCTGTTGTTTATTGAATACATGGATGCAGAAACTGTGGATACGAAGGCTAGCTGTATAGACCTATGGATGGACAGGACTGCTCAATAGGATTTTTTTTTTAAAAAAAACACTCTTTGTATGTATGCATGGTCAATATAACAATATAACCTAAACATACTCCAGTGCATATTGTCACCTGAAAAACTCAAGCACAAATAATTATATCACCAGCAAAAACTATAATTATGTAATTCACCAGTTGATGCACAAGTTAGCTATAGTTTTATGAGTAATGATAAAATGCAAAAGTCAACTACTGCTTCATAATTTCAAACATAACATCCAGCAGAATGAAAACTTTTCACTCATATCCTAACCTTTGTATTTACCTTTCCTTAAAAAGCCTTCTGAACATGCCTAAGCTGTTCAGAAAAGAGCACAGCAAATGTTGATGGGTGTGCTATTATTTTCTGTGAGTCATGTCATACGTTTAGCGCTTGGCATGTATTCACACTACCATTCTAGGTAATCCTTGCCAAATAAACAGTGCCAGTACTAAACCTCAGCACTGCAGTTAAAATGTGTAGCATGCAATGGCCAATCAAGGTCATAACGATCAAAGTATTACAAACCAGTGTTTTAATTTCTGTATGTGCAGTTGTGCTTTCAACACAGAAAAAAAAGAAACACAAACAGTATACCATGGTATAAGAATCCACTACTCCCCCTAGTGCTAAAATACATGCATGTAATACTTAATATTTAATACCGTCAATAAGTGAGGCTGAAGAGAAAGAGCATCTTCCAGTTCTGTGTGTGTGTGTGTGTGTGGGGGGGGGGGGGGGAGACCGATCGAAAACCAGAACTACAACTGAACTAGGCCAATAATCTCAGCATTGTCGTCTGGTCACACAAGCTTGTTCACACTCTGCACTTTTGTTTAAAGATGCACCAAAGGTTATAGTGCATCAAATATTGCTCAAAGGGTTCTCCAAACTTCAGAAGCAGCACCCTAGATGACACGAGAGCTTTACAGAAAGAAAGAAAAGCTATCCCATGGACACAGGCACCATTCCTCTACCACTGTATTTTGTAAATAATTGAAGATTCTTTGCCGTAAGACTATCTCTCAAAGTTCAGTCAGACTTTCCAGAATTTACCATTTTGATCACTTAGGCAACCAGTTGTTTTAATTATTTGCTGCTAATAAATTATTTTCAGACCCTTGAATTTGCTGAATATTTGAATAATAATAATAATAATAATAATAATAATAATAATAATAATAGACTTTATTTTTAACCTGCCCTCTTTCCCCAAGGGGACTCAGGACAGCTTCCAAAAAAAATTAAAAAATAAAATAAAATAAAATAGCAGACATTCAATGCCATGTGCAGCTCACAGAATAAACAAACAGAATAAACAATTAAAAGAATAAAATTAAAATAGACAGTTAAAATCACTGAATAAAAACAACCTTAGCAAACAAACAATCAGTCAGGCCTCATCATGAACACATTCAGCAGTTCAAATATGTATAAAATATAAAGTATAAAAATATGAAAACGTGGTTTTCTTATAAGTTAAGGTAATCATTGACAGTATCATCAGTCAAGGTAGAAACAGTGATAAAACATGCAGCCTATACCAGAAAATTAACATGCAAGCTGTACAGCTGTAATATGCAACAATGTGTTTTTAAGGATTTTAACGGTTTACTTTTTAATGCCATTAATATTTAAGTATATATTAATACTTGCATAGTTTTAGGTTTTAAATTGTATTTCATTTCATTTTACTGTAAGCTGCTTTGAGGCTCTTGTAAAGAGAGAGAAAGCTGGGTTTAAATAAACACAACAACAACAACAACAACAACATGTGTGACAGAGGTATAACATGTCCTTTAAGCAAATTAAATTGAGATACGCAAGGAGCTTTATTAACCTTCAACAAACAATACTGTGGGGTAGACTATATGCCAGGAATGGCGTTCCATAAATCTACTTTAGATACATTGATATCCTCAAATATGGAATTATTAAGTGGAAATTCTGAACATACTCTTACTACTCAGACACAGATCTCATGATAATCAAGATGCAAACATCAGTAGACTAAGATATACTATATTCATATCATATACACAAAATACACAACCAATTTTATCCTGCAGAGGTTCTCAAACTTTTTCAGCCAATGAGCTCTTTTTGAAGCCAAAATTTCCCATGGAGCCACAATAGATGTTTATATAGTATATTATATACTAGCCATCTCCTGCCACCCATTGCTGTGGCCCAGCCTGTGTATGTGTTTTGTGTGTATATATGTGTGTATATGTGTGGTTTTATGCATGCGTTGTATTTTTTTAAATGGCTTTTTAAGTCTCTTTCACTGTGTTTTTCAGTATTTTTATGAGTGATGGTCACTTGATGGCCTAATTGGTGTATTGTGTCCAAATTTGGTGTCAATTCATTCAGTGGGTTTTCAGTTATGTTAATTCCACAAACAAAAATTACATTTTTATTTATATAAATACATATATATATATAAGGCATGGTCTGGGTCAGAGATAGATAGATAGATAGATAGATAGATAGATAGATAGATAGATAGATAGATAGAGAGTGTTTGTGTGAACTAATTCAGATAGTGCAGAAAGAAAGAAAGAAACAAACAAAACAATATTTAATATGAAGAACAATTTTAAACAACATAAACTTAACAGTATTGCAATGGAAGACCCCCTTCTGCCATGCAAGAAAAACACAATCAAAGCACCCCTGAGCGGTGGGAGGGAAATAGGGTTTTGGAAGTAAAGAAGGAGGGGGGGATCTGTGCCCTGGGATACTGTGTGATGCTGTGACTGTTGTTTCTGGAAGCTCAAAATTTTAATTTCCCTGCATTCCACAGGAGGAGGTAAGAGGAGGAGGTGGGAAGCAGAATGGTGCCGCGGAGCTCCTTATTATCACCCATGGAGACCCAAGGGCTCCAGGGAGCACAGCTTGAGAACCCCTGCTATAGAGAAATCAAACCTATTAAAATCTGTATGCTTGGACCAATATACTAAATATGAATTGTTTTCTATATATCAAAGTTTGATCACCCACTAGAAAACTAACCCATCTTGAAATATATTAGTTTATGTTTTAATTATATTTGTTATGTGCATGCAAACATAGTTAAACATGTAACTACTACTGCTTGATATATGGAATTATTTTGAATTAGGTGCTATGTAAGACTTTGGAACGGCTCGTACGGTCAGGAAGTTCTTCCTAATGTTCAAGTGAATCTCCTTTCCTGTAATTTGAACCCATTACTCAAAGCCTTGATTCTAGAGCAGCAGAAAACAAACCTGTTCCTTCTTCTTTATGACACCCTTTCACACATTTATAAATGGCTGTCATGTCTCCTCCCAACCTTCTCTTCAACAGTTCTTTAAGATGCTCTTCACAGGGTCTCGTCGCTAAACCTTTGATAATTTTAGTAGCCTTTCTCTGGACACCTTCCAGCTTGTCAATATCTCTTTTGAACTGTGGTATTCCAAGTTACGCCTAACCAAAGAAGAATACAAAGTCCCCATGACTTCCCTCAATAAGACACTATACCCCTTTGGATGCAACTCAAAATCCCATTGGTTTGTAGCTGCTGCACCACACTGTTGGCTCATGTTCAACTTCTTGTCCACGAAGACTCCAAGATTTTTCTCACATGGACTGTTGTTGAGCCAGGCATCACCCATTCTGTATCTTTGCATTTCATTTTTTCAGTCTAAGTGTAGTATCTTACCCTTGTCCTTATTGAAATTCATTTTGTTAGTTTTGGTTCATCTCTCTAATCTGTTACAGTCATTTTGAATTCTGATCCTGTCCTCTGGAGTATTAGCTATCCTTCCAAATTTGGTGTCATCTGCAAACTTGATAAGCATGCCCTCTAATTCGTCATCCAAGCCATTAATAAAGATGTTGAATAGTATTGGGCCCAGGACTGCAGCACTCTTCTAGTAACTCCTTTTCAGGATGAAGATGAACCATTGGCAACCACCCGTTAGGCTTGGTCGCTTAAATCAATTAGGTTATATGTGAAACCTTTTCTTTTGGTACTCTGCAGGTGTCACAAATTCCACTGGAGCAATCTGGGTTGTACCATTTCTTCCACAATCTCTCCCTCTTTCTGCCATTCATTATTTTACAAACTTTAGTCATGTTCTCAAAAAAATGTTTTTTAAAACTACAACACTATAAAAACATACTTGCTATTCCACATAGGAAATGTGCCCTTTCTTGTACTAATTCTAGTTTCTTGTACCCTTATGAACTAGGATAACAAGACGTTCTATATAATTTGGTGCTTTGCAGAAGGAGTCAATCCAGTCAAAGATGATCTGGCAGGACAGCTGGGAAAATTTCTGACTAATAACTTGGAAAACTCTTACCAGTCAAGTTGACCTTCTTGGAAAAGACAAATCAATGGTGTCAGCACAAGGCAGCTTCATCTGTCCAGAATGTATCATAAAGTTACACAATGGCCTTATAATATTTGTTTTTCTATTTCAAATCGCCTTTTAAATGGTTTTTGCATTATAGAGTATCAGATACTTTTTTTCTATGTGCCAGAAGCCCTGTTCATTTCATGGCCTACAGTATGAATTCCACTATCTTGCCCTTATCATCCATATTTTTCAAGATACCATTCTTTATGAAGTTAGTATTTAAGATGCTCAACTGATTTAGAAATATGATTAAATCTAATTAGAGACCAAGAGTGGATTTACTCACCGATCAATCACAAGCTCTTTTTGCCTTAACAACCCTTCTTTGATTTTCATCAGGGACTCCCAGTTATTGTAATCCTGAAAGTTTGCTGCTGAATAACTCTGACGAGATGATCCACTCAGAACCTGCAAAAAGACAGTGCTATTAAATAAAATAGCAAATAATGCCTTCACAGGCTTTTACATTTAGAATTCCAGGTTGAGTAACCTTTATATGAAATCCATATAAAGAATTTCATACACCCAAATTTTGGAATATTTGCATTTGTATATATATGTACATACCCTGAAGATAAGACCCAGGCTTAAATATGAAATTTATTTATGTGTCATATACATTTTATACATATAACTTGGAGGTCATCTTAAATAATATTTTTGATAATTTTGCGCATGAAATGTGTTTTTAATACCTTGAACTGACAGAAAGCAAGGGTGTTGCTATTCTCAGCCAACCATGGGGGCATATTTGAAATATTTCAGAATTCATGATAAGGGATGCCTAACCTGCATCATCTACATGTTTAGTTAAGAGAAATATACTTCAGAAAACATTCATGGGAACCTATAAAGAAACCAGTCCAGCGTTTCCTCTTCCCATAGATATATCTAGAATAAAGCCTACAGCCACTCCACCATGGATGTTTTTGATCTCTTATTTCTGCTTGTTTCCTTATTTTACATGTTGTTTTAAAGGAATCATCTGAAGAATTTTACAGAAGGTTCAATATTGTGTTTTTTCACTATCACTAAATACATTATTTCAAATGATGTAAAATTTCTAGTTAATATTTCAAGGCAAATAATTACTCCATGTATCAGATATTAAATAAATGAATATTTTAAGTTTAATAGGTTGTTATATTTGGAAGAAATACCATCCTGCAACAACAGGAGTGCTTGCCCAGAAAACTTGAGTAGATATCTTGGGGGGGGGGGGGGTTAAGTCTGTCCAGTGTTAAACAAAACAGTACACTTTGGTTTTCTTTTGGCAACATAACAGTTGATATTGAGTGCTTTCAAATGATAGATTCCAGGAATTCAATGCTCCAAGATATTATGGTATTATGAAATCATAAATGTTTGGAAATTATGCAGGGGGAAATGTGTATGCAATATGATTTGGTTTTGTGCGTGTGTTTAAAAAGATGATATTTGCCTATTTTTTAAAAACGACCAAGCTTAATTATTTTTGCTCCTTGTACAAAAGCACACAAGTAATTTTCCATTACTTGTATCCAATTTTTCAAGTGTTTAAATACACTTCTCTTGATGTTGCCAAGAACGAAGGTACTTCTGATTCATACAGCACAAATGGTGTTGAACACTTACAACAGACCTTAACAGAGAAAATGTTGTTACAGAAAGACAGGTAATGTGATATTTCTAAATACTGAGAACAGCAACTTAAAGGGTTCACTCAACAATTTAATTCATTAATTAACTGATTTTGTTGGGGAGGGGGAGGCTCCCACAGATATAAGAGTTCACTTAAAGCTAGGAAAAAGTGTAAATTCCATTTGGAAGTGGGTACAATGATACATTGTTTTGTAATCAGTAAGTATATAAAATCACTAAATGAACCTCTTACACAATATAAAATTACTTTGGTGAGACAGAAAATTAGACTATTCGTATCTAAATCTTACAATAGAAAACCTTAAGTATTACTCATTTTGAGTCTTAAGTCCATTTGTGCTTAGTCTGGTTTCCATACGATAATTATAGAAACATAGCAGAGACCATTTCAGAAAGGAACAATAACAGTTATAGTACTAGGAGCAAAGAACATGGATAATGAATGGGTAAAAAATGAAAGTACAACATATTTCATACAAAACAGACAAAATGGAAATGTAGCTCAAGAGACCAAAAAAAAAAAAGAAGAAGAAGAAGAGCAAAACAACAATTACTATTGAAACATAGTACATTTAAGATGGAAACAAATATATAAAGATGACAAGTCTATGTGTGCTGCTGCAAGAAACTGAGTGTTGTGATACAAGACCACTTTAATTTCTCATTCTATTACCTAGGCAAAAAATCTGTAACGAAATTATGCTTATTTTCTAGATATGAATCCAGCTTTTGCCTACTGTAGGATAGAGGGAGTTTCTGCTTGGTAGTGAAGCCTATGCACCATTGTTATAATGGTTGGTTTCCCTCCCTAGCCAGTCTGATCTTGGAAGCCATGGCTGATACTTAGATGGGAACCCACTAATGTTTTGAAGATGTGAGCACATGAACACTCACACACACAAGCCCACTTTCAGACTGGTTCTCCCAGCACCAACTCCTCTGATGTAACCATTGTGGGATCGTCACTGTACGTTCACAAAGAACCTCCATTGGGGCGTGAGGCAGTGAATACACATTCAAGTGTCACTTGAACTGAATCCATGTATACAATAAGGGACTGTGAAAAGGAGGTGGTTTCTGGATGCTCCCACCAGACTCTTCCACTATGAGATTTAGCATTTGGGAACGAAATATTAGTGCAACCCACAAGTATGAAAACTGCACTCATGCACAATTGTGTGTGTGTGGGTTTCTTTTTTTGTTACTTATAGCAACCCAAGGAGAAATGAGCTCGCATACACTTTTATAATTAATGTGAAATCAGAAGTGTTCTGCTATAGTGTCACAGAGGAGCTGGTCAAAACAGATAATCTAAAAGGGATGCAGAAAATACTTTTTGATTTCATTTGTGATGTTCCCAATCATCTCCTTTTCTTCATAGCAATGTTGGAGCTGTAGGCATTAGGAACAGAAAGTTTTCCTAATGGGTGATGAACATATAAATGCTAAAAATAGATCACCTAGAATTTGTTGGCATTGCTTTTAAGAAAAAAAAAATCAAATACCCATTTCAGCAAAGAAAGCTGTTCCTTGAAACCCTGCACCAAAATAAACAGTCTGTTTGCCAAGAAGCCTTCCACTTATTTTCTGGCCAATGTTGAGGACAACACTTCTAGGTGGCACTTCAAATGATGTTCAGAGCAAGTGTGTCTGGAATTTTCCATTGATAACAGAAGGTCTCTCTCCTAAGTATAGAAACACTTGTTTTAATAAGTGTTCATATTATCTTCCCATTACCTTTAAATTCAGTGTAGATCACTGCAATCTTTCAGCTTCTTTGAAGCTGTTTATTGCGTGATATGGCACAATAATAGCATGTTTAAAAGATGTTAATGATGAGCTAGGAAGTATTTGAGGAATACTAATTTGTATATACTCGGTTTGGAGTTAGTATTAATGTTAACAAAAGGTAAGAAGTCAAACTATGTTAAATATTTTGTCTGAGTGTCTAACAACCTAAGAAACCTTTGGATATATATGCATACACAATATATATTGTTAACAAATGTACCTTAACGTTTATGTACCATAGCTGTACATTGTGCTGTACCATATGAAAGTATAAACACATTTCCAAATGAAGGATTTTCTAATAGATTCATGTATAGTTTCAAATAAATGGATGTAGTATTGCTGCTTACTCAAGACTGCAGAAATCGTAAGAACTAAGGAAAGGATAACATAGTGGTAACTAACTAAAGCATAACACAATAGTGGTGCTACCACATTTTAAAAACATCCCAAACCCACTATCCATTGAAAAGAAAAGGAAGGAGGAAGAGTGGGAGTCAGGTTATCCTAAATAACAAGGAAAACATTAGTTAAGTGGGCCACTGACAATAATGCAAAGATGTGTTCCATCCCCCAAACCCAACAGGACTGGTAGGACAGTAAGAAGAAAAACTCCTCTGATACAAGTGTTGGTTATGACCAACTGGAGGCCCTGCCTGGCAACTGAAAGAAGGCCACTAAGAATCCTGGGTGAGAGAACACTGAACAACTTACTGTGAAGAATAAATTAAAGGGTTTAACTGTCTGGCTTCTTTCCAGAAAATGAACCTCTGCATCTTGACATTATGAAGGGCACTTGAAAGGATACTTGACTTTCAAAAGTCAGTAGCTTGATAAAGGAAAACACTGATCTTTCATCTTTACAGGATGTTTCAAAGAGCGTTTTGTGTGAATAGAAGTTGAGGCAGTGAATGCAAATCTAAGATCAAATAATGGTGAGCAGGAGAATCTAAGATCCAATGGCAAAAAAGTGGACTTCTCTAATTTAAACACATAAGAAGCAAATCAAAAAGCCTGGGTGAATTTTTGTCATACTTATCTATAAGGCTTATTTTTAAAAATGAAAATAAAAAAGAGAAGTTGTTAACTATAATTCATTTATAGATACATTCAAAGTGAAAGGAGTACCATATTTTCCGATGTGTAAGACGACCGAATGTATAAGACCACCCCTCTTCCAACGCACACCAGATAAAATTTTTAAAAACATCAGATTTTATTTTAAATCCAAGACTATCAGAGTGTTAGCCAGCTCTTCGGCTTAGAAATGGAGATGAGCACCAACCCCCAGAGTTGGACACAACTGGACTTAATGTCAGGGGAAAACCTTTACCTTACCTGGAGTGAGCCCAGATCCAATGTCTTTTCCCGAACAACAACAACAACAACAACAATAATAGAACCCTAGAGTTGGAAGGGACACCAATGGCCATCCAGTTTAGCCCTAAACCAGGCAGCAAAACCTGACCACAGGAACAACAGAGATGCGCCTTCAAGATTGCCCCGCGAAAATGATAAAAAACACGCGTAAGCGGCAAGGCTGCATCCTCTCACCCAACCTTTTTAACTTGTATGCAGAACACATCATGCGATGTGCGGGGCTGGATGAATGCAAAGCTGGGGTGAAAATTGCTGGAAGAAACATTAACAACCTCAGATATGCAGATGACACCACTCTGATGGCCGGAAGCGAGGAGGAGCTGAGGAGCCTTCTAATCAAGGTGAAAGAAGAAAGCGCAAAAGCCGGGTTGCAGCTAAACGTCAAAAAAACCAAGATTATGGCAACAAGAATGATTGACAACTGGAAAATAGAGGGAGAAACCGTGGAGGCCGTGACAGACTTTGTATTTCTAGGTGCAAAGATTACTGCAGATGCAGACTGTGGCCAGGAAATCAGAAGACGCTTATTACTTGGGAGGAGAGCAATGTCCAATCTCGATAAAATAGTAGTAGAGACATCACACTGGCAACAAAGA